TTATAATTATATTATATATATGTATGTATGTGTGTATGTATGTTTGTATGTATGTATATGTATATATATATATATATAGACAAGGGTTTATTAATATATATTCATATATATATATAGACAAGGGTTTATTAATATATATTCATATATATATATAGACAAGGACATCTTTACACCATTGCGTTGATTGAAATGTATACATCCAAGAGGCTCGTGTATGCTGTATGCAGATCAGCCCTGCACGTATTGGACATGTGTGCTGGATATTTGTGCTACATTGTCTATTCCCACTGCCTGGTTCTGGACGTATTGATGCATTATTATTATCGTTTTCTAACCTTTGCCGCCGCACCTATCAGTCATTCACCATAAGTCCTCACTGTCTATCGCTCCACATTATTGCCACAGATAAGAAACAGAAGATGCATGCGGAGCAGCTCATTAAGAAAACTCGGGCTGAGGCTGCTGCAGCTGCCTCGGTGCCTTATACGGCGACAGCGGGTATGTATATCTTGTGGATGTGTACGTTGGTTGGGATAGTTACAGTTGTTGTGGATGTGTACATTCGTTAGGATAGTTACAGTTGTTGTGCGCCTATTAGTTCGCACGGGAGATTGGCTACGCTGTCTATTTACTGATGCTTGTTTGTGTGCGTATTTTGTGTTGATATTGTGAGAAATGGTTGTTGGATATTTCAGGGAGTGATCAGATTTTCGTATCTGTCCGTTGATTTGTTTTTTTTTCGCTTGTTTTTATTTATTTGCCTACAAAATTCGATTGTGGTGTGATGCATGGTAGACTGATCGTACACCTTTACAGGAACAAAGATAATTAAACTATAATGAGTATAACATATGTATGTCCACTTTAGCTAGTAAAGGGGCTAAGTAGTCTTCTCTCATCCATGTGCTACACTACGTGAAACACCAAATCAATCAATCTATCAGACACCTGTTGCAGTTAAACCTGATGTAAATGCAATATAGGCAGCAGTTTGTTCCATGTGGGGCACTTTCCAGCATTCTATCAAGTAGGGTGTGTGTGTAGGTCTATTTTAAACGGACACTGGATGCCAATGACGATGTATATTTCTCTCCGCAGTTGTCTTACTCATTGTAAGCGCCTTGTGACTAAATCACTTAATTTATCTATGTTTTTTTGTTCAGCTGGCAAAGTCTCTCTTATGAAGCTTTTGCGTGCACGAAATGTCTACTGAAAAGTCTCATTTTGTATTGACTAGAAATCCTTTCTCATCCACCACTCGGCATATCTAGACTCTACGTAAACGTCTACTGTGCACAGCTGAGGTCACCTCACTTCTCTTGTCCTCTGGCATATGCTTCACAGTTGTCGCCACTTATAATAGTCTTAACATTGTTCTCTTTGCACCACGTGTGGTTTCTATCGATTCATCCCTTGTGGTCACAGGTGCGACTAATAGAGAGGTCGACGCCGTGAAAGCCAAAGCGCAGGCACAGGCCATCGCTAAGATGTTGGGTAGTCAGAAGAAACTCTCAGGACGCACGAGTGCAATGAAGTAGACCGACTGATCACCCGTAGTCAGTGGCATAGCGCAGAATCAACACTTGTCACCGGATGTCACTGACAACTACCGTGACAACAGATAAGAATCCGCTGATGTGAGGCACATCACAATATTCAACCGTAGCCATCGATCGTGATGAGGCGGTGTCACGTACATCTGCGACGGCCGTGGAGCTGGTCATTCCTTCACCTTCAGTGGCCGTGGGGCTGGTCATTCCTTCACCTTCAGTGGCCGTGGGGCTGGTCATTCCTTCACCTTCAGTGGCCGTGGGGCTGCTCATTCCTTCACCTTCAGAATCCATGAGGCTGCTCTTTCCTTCACTTTCAGAGCCCATGAGGCTGGCCATGCCTTCACATTGAGAGGCCGTGGGGATGGTCTTTCCTTCACCTTCAGAGGCCGTGAGGCTGGTCATACCTTCACATTGAGAGGCCGTGGGGCTGGTCTTTCCTTCATCTTCAGAAGCCGTGAGGCTGCTCTTTCCTTCACCTGCAGAGGCTGGTCATGCCTACACATTGAGATGCCGTGGGGCTGGTCTTTCCTTCACATTGAGAGGCCGTGGGGATGGTCTTTTCCTTCATCGTCAG